ATAATGCAAAAGAAATGCACTATGCAAAGAAAGCTACAGAACTGGCGGGAAAAGCTCCTGCACGCGGGTTCTCCGTTACAACAGAACACTCCACCATGCAAAAGAGCTGCAATTTGGCGAGAACATGATTTAGCGATGCTGAAGCACACACAAACAAGAAAAACCACAACTTTGGGTTGTGACAAGAGGTAGTTCCAATATGAATCTAAACATTTTTTTGTAAAACCCAGATCTGTGAACTCATTTGTAGCTCAGTTCGAGCTCTAATTCAAATGCCTTTGACATCAACAACTGAATGAAACAGGTGAGTCTTAACCCCCTGTCTTTTATATCTACTTCTCATTCCTGCCGCTTCATGTATTCAAGGACAGCAAACAAGGTGAGTAGTATGAAGACAGTTTGCAGACCAGTTCACAGGTCAGTTTGCCCCCACCCCCATCCTCCTTTTCAGGGAAGAGTTTTTCAGTTTGGTGTGAGGAAGCAGGAAAAAAGGAACCTTTTGGGGCCAATGAGCAGTAAACAGGCCAATTTCCAGGCAAGTTTGCTAGGGAAGGTGTGCTTGGAAGAAGGGCAGTAAGAGAGAGAGGCAAATTAAGAGACGCAGGGAAATGGCTAGAGAATGTTGCAGTGCCAGAGCCACTGCCTCTGCTTGCACCTGTGAGGTTTCTGTTCAGGCAGGACCACTTACCATTGAGGCTTCCACCCAGGTCCAGATTTGCTGCTGTGGGGACTGCGGCTTGCAAGTTCCTTCCAGTGACGGCCAGGTCAGGGGTGCCTATGGTGTGAGCAGTACCTCCCGGTGGTGTCTTTCAGGAAACAGGCAAGAGCTACAGGAGGAGGTGGTGATGCTCCAAAACATCCTTCACCATGAGGAGTTCATTGATTCAATACTGGAGAAGACCTCCAGGACTGTGGAGGAAGAACTGCCAGGGGCAGCGCTAGAGAAGAGAGAGGGCATGGACTCCCAGGAGGGTGGAAACTGGAGGCTTGTGACCTCTGGCAGCAAGCAGAGATCTTCACTTCCACTTGCAGCAAATTGTCTAGAGAAGAGATATGTAGCCTGGAGCCCAGATCCGAGATGTCGCAGAGGGATTACCAAGACTCATCCAGCTCTCTGACAACTACCCTGTGTTGCTCATCCATGTGGACACCAACGATACTGCCAGGCGAAAACCTGAGCAGATCAAAAGTGACTACAGGGCTCTGAGTGAAGGGGTTTGGGGCTCTGGTTGTGTTCTCTTCAATCCTTCCAGTCAAGGGATAGGGCCGGGGCAGAAATGAGTGCCTTCTGCACAGTGGCACCAGTGCACCTCCTGACAGGCTGAGCTTGCTGCTTAGGCGGCAGGCAGGGGGGGGACCCCCCCCCCCCCCCCCAAGAGCACCAGCTGGGGACCTGGAGCACCATGGTCACTTCTGGGAGCACCACGGCTGCTTCACAGTGGCCATGGGAGGACCCACCCTCTGTCACTAACTGGTCACTGGGGTTGTGGGGGTATGTACCCCCCCTGACTAAGGTGGCAGCAGTTGCCCATGCTTCTGCAGATCAATACCTGGTGTAGCCAGCAGGGCTTTGGGTTTGACCATGAGATGTAGTTCCAAGAAGAAAGATTGCTGGGAAGAGATGGGATCTACCTAATGAAGAGAGGGAAGAGCATCTTTGCAGGCAGGCTCACTAACCTAGTGAGGAGGGCTTTAAACTAGGTTCTCCAGGGGATGGAGACCAAAGCCCTGAGGTAAGTGGGGAACCTGGAGACCTGGAGGAAAAGCAAGCAGGAGGGGGCAACAGGGAAGGTGTTTTCATACTTCCTGAGAAATCAGGGCAACCTCAGGTGCCTGTACACCAATGCAAAGAACAAGGGAAACAAGCAGGAAGAACTGGAAGTCCTCGCACAGTCATGGCACTATAACGTGATTGGAATAACAGAGACTTGGTGGGATAGCTCGCATGACTGAAGCACTGTCATGGATGGTACAAACTGTTCAGGAAGGACAGGCAGGGAAGAAGAGGAAGAGGACTTGCACTTTATATAAAAGAGCCATATGATTGCTCAGAGCTCCAGTATGAAACTGTAAATAGACCTGTTGAAGGTCAGTGGGTTAAGGTTAGAGGGGAGAGCAACAAGAGTGATGTTGTAGTGGATGGTGTCTGCTATAGACAACCAGGCCATGAGGAAGTGGTGGATGAGCTTCCTTCAAACAACTAGCAGAAGTTTCCTGATCATAGGCCCTGGTTCTCATGAGGGACTTAAATCACTCTGACATCTGCTGGGAGGGCAATACAGCAGTGTGCAGGCAATCCAGGAAGTTTCTGGAGAGTGTTGGGGACAACTTCCTGGTGCAAGTGCTAAAGCAGCCAACTAGGAGCTATGCCCTTCTTGACCTGCTGCTCACAAACAGGAAAAAATTGGTACTAGTAGATAGCAACTTGGGCAGCGGTTACCACAAGATGATTGAGTTCAGGATCCTGAGGAAAGGAAGGATGGAGAGCAGCAGAGTAAGGACCCTAAACTTCAGAAAAGTAGACTTCGATTTCCTCAGGGAACTCATGGGCAGGATCCCCTGGGAAGCCAGGCTGAATGGGAGAGGAGTCCAGGAGAGCTGGCTGTACTTCAAAGAAGCCTTTCTGAGAGTGCAGGAACAAACCATACTGATATGCAGGAAGGCTCTCAAGTATGGCAGAACAGCAGCTTGGCTTAGCAGGGAACTCTGCAGTAAATTAAATCACAAAAAGGAAGTTTATAAGAAGTGGAAACTTGGACAAATAAATAGGGAGGAGGATAAGAGCATTGCTTGGGCATGCAGGGATGAAGTCAGGAAGGCCAAAGCACAATTGGAGTTGCAGCTAGCAAGGAATGTGAAGGGTAACAAGAAGGGTTTCTACAAGTATGTCGGTAGCAAGAGGAGGATCAGGGAAAGTGTGGGTCCCTTACTGAACGGGGAAGGCAACCTTGTGACAGAGGATGCATAAAAGGCTGAAGTGCTCAATGCCTTTTTCACCTCAGTCTTCACAGGCAAGGTCAGCTCCCAGACTACTGCACCTGGCAGCACAGTTTGGGAAGGAGGTGAGCCAACAGTGGTGAAAGAACAGGTTAGGGACTATTTAGAAAAGCTGGACATATACAATAGAGGTGTGCAAAACGGACCGTATTTGATTCGAATTCGGTTCAAATTGGGGACAGTGATTCGATTTGTTGATTTGGATCACTGTCCCTGATTCGATTCAGCTAAATTCGAATCTGAAGATTCAATGCTGATTTGAAGAATCAGCAGTTTGGCCATAGACACAGCTTTAAATGTTTTTCCTACATACCTCAAGGTACCAGCTACAGCTCGTGAATACTATGATGCTGGGGTGGATGGAGTGTCATACAGGAGAGTGTGTGTGTGGAGCGGGGTGCCCACGTGCTCAGCAATGGACCACATCTACTTCCGGACCACTTCCGGATCTACCGGAAAACGCGCAAGGGAACCCCACACCTTGGCGATCGACCATGGGGGGACTCCAGGTGCCCCCCTAGACCAAGGAGGCACCAGTTGCCAAGCTGGCAAAGCCCGGGGAGGGGGGCCCTCACGCATTCCTCGGCGGACCCGGAAGCAGACCAGAAGTGCTTCTGGTCCACTTCTGGGTCTGCTGCCGAGCGTGCTGGGGAGCCCCCCATGCTCCTGTGGGACACTCCATCTGCCCCAGCATCTCAGCATTCATGAGCCTCCTGCTACCTTGAAGTATGTAGAATAAATATTTCAAGCTGTGTCTATGTCTGAATCGCCAAATCTTTCCAAATCTCTAAATTGATTTGGAGGGTTCTGATTCGATTCAGAGAGATTAAAGGGTCTCCTGATTCAGATTCAGAGATTTGTCCGCTGAATCGGGCCAAATCTCTGCCAAATCAAATTAGGGACTGAAGCTTTGCACAGCCCTAATATACAATTCCATGAGGCAGGATGGGATGCACCCGCGGATTCTGGGGGAGTTGGCTAATGAGATTGCAGAGCCACTGACAATCATCTTTGAAAATTCATGGTGATTAGGAGAGGTCCTGGATGACTGGAAAAGGGCAAACAGTGCCCATATTTAAGAAAGGGAAAAAAAGAGGAGGATCCAGAGAACTACAGAGCAGTCAGCCCCACCTCAGTCCCTGGAAAAATCATGGAGCAGATCTTCAAGGAATCCATTTCTAAACACTTGGAGGAGAAGTAGGTGATTAG